TAGCATGTTTTTGGCCTGGCATCTAAAGCCTGTTGTACTGCAGCTGCCAAGACTTGCCCTTGTTCATTAATATCTCTACATAATTTAATATATGTGTTTATATCTTCATGTCTCCATGGTCTAAGAACCTCTAACAATTTACTTAACTAAATTGTTTTTTACTAATTTGTTTTTTACTAATTTCTAATCTACTATAAAGATAACGCAACCCAATAAAATAACACAAAACAAAACTGAAACTGAATGAAACAAAAACGGAATAAAAAAATCATTCTATCAATTTTCTCTTCCTCAGGGCTGACAAACTTCAAACCTTGAGCCAACTATTTTTCCTAGTTTGCCTGAGAAATTTCTAGGGACAGGCAACTTGAAATAAAAACAAAATAAATAAAAACAAGAACACATTGTTTTTTGAAATGGTCACCCATTCTCTCGCCTTCCCTCAGGGGCGAGCAATTTCACTTACCTCCAAGTTTCAGACATTCCGCTTATGGACCACCAAATGCCGCAGTCTGGCTGGGCACAGAATCACGAGCCACCACACACCTTGTAGATTCAAATAGCAACTCTTAATTCCTGAACTCACACAGGCCCTCTACAAACAGGTTCTGGGGAAATTCACGTTCTGCCACAAAATTCACGTACTCCACCAGGCTTTGAATCCCAAATACTTTCTCAATTCCAGGAGAACTCAACTGGGAACTCAGGCAGCAGGATACGCCCTATTCCCAGCAGGAATAACCTTAAACCTGGAACCACCCTAAACCCAGATTGTTCTAAACCCAAGGAGCGGGATACTCCCTAAAACCTGATCTGCCCTAATCCAGTAGGATCCTCCTTAAACCCGGATCCACCCTGGTCCTTGAGCAGGGTCACCTTTCTCAAACATACATGCAATGTCACTTCAAATGACCATTTCCAGGAGTCCTTCCTCTAAGCAACATGGGGTACACCGGCAAGGAAATTTCAATTCGTCATTCCTACTTGGCAATGGCTCTCAGCAATGGGCAAATATTGCCCAAGAAAATTCCATTGTTAAAGCTGAAATAGGCTTAAGGCCATTCAAGTTCAAGCACAGTTATACAAATCTTTCAAAGCCCCTCCTATTTTCATTTGAATTTGTGATCTTTCTTCAAATTTGTAATCTTAAACTTCTGTTTGACAAAATCCAGAAGAAAATTCCAGAAGAAATCAATACAGAGGTTACATTAAATAAGAGTAACATACACAGCTATAATTAAGATAAGCGAGGAAGGCAAAACATTAAAATTGTAAATTTGCTTATTACTTGTTGGAACCTATATTAGGATTTAGGTAATATATACAAATATTTTCAAGTAGATTACTTATGTTACTCTAAAATGTCCTTTTCATCAGTGCATGTTAAAACTAATCAAAACCTCTACACATGTATATTCCTTTACAATAGCAGCACATACTATCACTACCTGCAAAGCCGTCAGTCTCCTTTAAATGACTTAGTGAATGAAAGCAATAAAAAGTAGATAAGTAACATATGAGGAGAAATAATGGGAATTAGAAAATTAATGCAGGTCAGCTCTTTTAATCAGCCAGCCAGCTTGCTAGCAACAAGGGATGGTTTCCATTGAGGAAGGTCCTGCGGAGTGGGAATATGGTCACCAGTGACGTCTGTCTTATCCGGGGATGTAGTAGGAAGTTGCTTGTTCTTCATCTTTGCTTTTGCCATGTTGTAATCCCCAGAATCAAAATATTTTTGCCCTTTCTGCAATTGTTTCCTTAAAAAATCGGAACCTCCAGGCTTTTGTCCCAGGTGAGGATACCTTGCTTTTAATTTGGCTTCTTCAGCTTTCTCTGGACTAGTCACTTTATCTTCCATTCCCTTCTGCTCCTCCACCGAGGCCACCTCTGGGACTTCCGCGGACACAGTGTACCCTCTGCCTAGCCGAGCTCTTCCAGCCCTGCTCCTCTGGCCCGGTGCAACTGAACACTTCCTCTAAAGCCTTCCTTTCTTTGACCTTACATGATCATATTCCTATCATTTTTCATATTGCAAAAGATCTTTTTTGGTCACTTCCGAGTTGGGAAGTAGAGAAATCAAACAAAACAAAACAAACCACTAAAAGGCAATCAATCCTGAAAAAACTCACTCTCTGTTACATATCCTGTGACATGATGAACAATGGAATTGTTACCACTCAGTACAAGTACCTCTTGTATCATGGTGCTATTAAGAGGATTTCATTTATCTTTCTTACGTTCCTAACTGCTTATAATATTCTGATTGGCCAGAATAAGACTTTATAGAATATTCTTTTTACCAATATTGCCTGCTTCAGAAAAGCTAATAGTATTAAAACAAAATAAAGACAACTTCTCAGATTTAGATGAAACTTTATTTATACATAAAAAATTACAATTCAGGAATTCTTTTTTTTCCCCTAAAAACAGTCTTTTAATTGTCATGCTTAAAATGAAAAGAATAAAAGGGGCAGTGAACAGCTTTTTAATCCTATACATCCCATAGTCATAAATATTTTTTTTTTTTGGCATTGGGGATTAAGCCCAAGGCTTCACATGTGCCTTAGTACTGAGCTACCTCCTCAGTCCCTATTAAACAATAGGCTGCAAAAAAAATATACCTCTTCTATAACAGCATTAGTTTGTGTGCTGCAGACTTAAATCTCATGATGGCATCAAAAGCCAAAATAAAATAAACTAACATTCTGAAATAGAATACTTGGCTGTTGTCACTTGGGCACTATCTCTAGCCACTTTCCTCCACGTTTATTCTTCCTCTTAGGTATCTCAATGGAGAACTTTTTAAAATAATAATTACATTATCATGAAAAAAGTGAAAACAAAAGTGATAAGAACCTCTTGTAACTAGTTTAAAAAGCTATTCCTCATGATCCTACATTTAGGATAATGTTTTGGAATTAAGAATGTATGTAACCACTGTTAATTAATTATGGAGCATGCAAGCCTTAGTACTATGTAAATCTCAACTTCATTTCTAAAAAATCATTAATTCAAAGAATCATTAAATGTCCAGTGTTGCTACATCTAAATAAAATTAAAAATTATTAGTAAGACTTTGCTTTCAGAGCAGGACCTAATTTACTGTGTTTTGCCCTATACAAAAAGTGTAATGGGTATAGGCATCATCTCTCACTTTTTGTTTCCCCATCCCTTTTGTCCCACCTGTGAAACCCAATAACCCCACCAGTTACTTACCAGGAATGTGGTCACTATTTGAAGCATCTACATCTATCTGAGATGACAACTTAGAGAGCTGGATAAAATCACATAATTTTAGACACACTGAACCTAAATGATAGTGTTGCTCTTTTCTTCTTCTTCAAAAGGGGTAAGAGGCCTATAAAACTTGACCAAGAAATGTAGGGAATTTAAAACTAATTTGAAAATGTCAGCAGTTGGATAGAAGACTTGATTCAAACAGGCAGTTTGCAGCTTAGGAAGAGGGGAGGGGATGAAATGAAGTACATCTTTCCATTCCGTGCACATAACTACTTTGTTCTTTAATGGTCAATGTTGTATTGGGGCAAAAAACAAAACAAGACAAATTCTGCTCCATTTGTGTTCAATGAATAGAAGAGCAGTAGAAATACTGTCATATATAACTGGTTAGAACTAATAAACAAACAACCAAACCAAACCAAACCAAACCAAAATCTTTGGAAGTGGCTTCACGTTTTGTTAAAATTATCCTCAGGGTGACAGGAAAGGAAAGAACATTAGCTCCAGGGGTGCCAGTGTGGTAGAACCTACTGCAAGTATTTAGAAAGGAGAGGTTCTGTCCTTTGGAACAGAAGGTCACAGACACTCTGAAGTTTAGGGGAGAAAGCAAACATTATAACACAGAAATATTCCTATCCCTCTCAGTTGAGTATCCAAAGATGACATTTTTACTTTAAGAAATACCAAATTTCACAAAAATATGTGAGGATGTAGAAAGAGAAAATCTTCCCCCCCATTGGAAAAAAAATAGAATTAAATGAATGAAATAGACACTCTTGTATGAAGTTTTGTGTTCAGAAAAGACTAGCCACTGAAAAGAATGCTTTTAGTCAAAAGGTAGCTCTGTCCAATTCTGCTTACAATGAGAAGCCTTTACAATTTACTTAGAAGAAAAATTTAACTTTTTAATGTAATGTCCCTTTAGTAAGACACTGTTTACATTGATATTATAAAAAATATCATGTACTGCTACTTTTAAAAAATATTTTTATATAGATGAATATAATACCTTTATTTTATTTTTATGCAGTGCTGAGGATGGAACCTGGTGTCTCATACTTGCTAGGCAAATGTTCTACCAACTGATCTATAACCCTAGCCCATGTACTGCTTGCTACTTTAACAGTTGACTTGATTTTCATAAAGCTTACATGAACTGGGAATCAGAATCCTTATCTTTAAAACCTATGCTTCAGCTGGGTGCAGTGGTGCACACCTGTAATCCCAGTGGCTGGGGAGGCTGAGACTGGAGGATCATGCTTTCAAAGTCAGCCTCAGCAAAAGCAAGGTGCTGAGCAATTCAGTGAGACCCATTTGTAAAAATACAAAATAGGGCTGGGGATGTGGCTCCTGGTCAAGTGCCAGAGTTCAATGCCTGATACCCCTGCCAAAAAAAACAACAAAAAAACCAAAAACCCCTGCACTCCATCACACAGGAGTAGCAGAACTAGGATTTGCATTTAGGCTCCATTTAACTATTTAGAAGTTTCTGTTTATTGTTTTAAGAGGCTGTATATAAAGCATTACAAACTTATCTTCCCAATATAGTGGGTTATGATCATAGATTTTTCATTTTTGTACTGTGATTATTAGTTTGGTTTTTAAATAAAAGTTATACATGATTGATATAAAAGATCCAGTTCCAATAAATTTACCACAAACTGTTAAATATATTAATGGGAAAAAATAAGATCATCCCAAAGCAAAGTTCCAAGACACTCTTTGGTGAGATCATGGAGAAGAGTTTTACAGACTTCACACTGATAAACAGTTGTCAGCATTACCACCCTCAGATTGTTTCCCTCAGAAATATTTGTTATAAAAACTTAAAAATCAAAATATATTTTCCTTAGTACACAAGATAACCTAGAGTACTCACTTTCTGGCTTAAAAACAAAAAAGCCAAAAACTCCAAACAACAGATAAAAACCCTGAGTGCCAGAACAAGCAAACTGGTAACAAAAGGGACAAAATCCATACCCTTTCTATTTTCTAGTAACTGTGTATTCACTAGCTGCATTTGGAGGGAAAACCAACCAATTCCAAATTCATGAACTTACTGCCAAGTACCTGACACATTCACTCCAGGACAGGCAAATATATTTGTCAAAAAGGTCCAGGCTGTGGTAAATTTTCAACAAACAGTCCTGAGCAGATCTTAGAGGGAACTTGTATCACATCACAAAAATTGAGGAGTGGTAAAAGCAGTTGCGGGGAGTAGGGAAAATAATTAATTATGAAGAAAAGCCCAGGCTTCCTTGGAAGCCAAAGGCACATAGAGTATTCTATTCTACATAAGAAACACTGATTTTATGATTCCACATGACCTCAAGGACACAAAAAAAGGTAAACTTGTATGATTTTTTTGAGGTTAAAGTAATCTCTAATCTTAAGAAGCCCAAGACCAAGGTCTAAAGATGAAGAGACAGATAAAAGAGTATTCTTCAACTTTTCTTCATTGCACAGGGAAATCCCCCTGAGGTAAGAATAAGAGAATTTGGTAAGTTGGAAAACATTTCTAACTTTATATTAAAATTACGTTTGATTATTGATGTAAGTTTCATAAAAGTAAATATCATAAAGATTTTAAGAAGCAATCTTAGGTCTTTTTCAACTTCTTAATTACCATTTCAAACCTTTCTCAGGTTGGGCTGAATGTAAAATGGTCTGAATTAAACTTACAGAGGCCCTTCCAAAGCAATGAATATTTTATAACTATGATCTTGTTTTACATAAAAACTACCAGCAAATCTCCCTTTTTTCATTCTTTAATAAAGCATTGAATACTCAAGCTTCAAAATAGACTTTCCTTTGCCATTTCTCATACATGGAACTTTTATTTTAGTATTTTTGATAGTAATGCCTGGTTAGGTTATTATGAGGGCGAGGCTATTTTTTAGTAGACCACACTTTTTATCCCACAAAGCTGACTTTTCAAAAATCACAATTTATGTATAAAATAATGTAGGCTTATAATCTACTTTATTATAAAAGGAAATAGATCTTGGCACATAATTATTATAGAAAACAGAGTATTCAGAAAAGTTCAAATTCTTCAGTATGAAAATACATTTGTCTGAAAAATACTTACTTATAAAAACATATTGCCTTTGCCATGTGAAAATCTGGTGTTTAGTTCTCTAGATTTCTTTATTAGGGCTTTTTTCTGAGCTTCATCAAACCGATTAACCTTGAGATCCTTATCACGGTCAAATGGTATTCTCTCTTGGGGCTTATTTTTATTATCAGCAGCCTTACTTTTTAATTTTTTATGATGAATGTCCATAAGAGATTCTGATCTTTTTGACTCCTGGGGAAACAGGAGAGCAGTGATCAAAACCTAGCTTGTGTAAATTATTGACAGAATATCATCATGAAACAAAATAGACAGCAACAGCACACATTAAGGAGGGTTTTTTACAAACACAGACAGGTTTTTCCAAATCCAAGATCACTTCTGTGAAGATAATACATATCAAATGCTTTCTAATTCTTTATTTTCAACAAAACCAAAGGAGGCTAAAAGAAAATCATTAAATTTTGCTAAGAAAAAAAAAGGCAATCAATACATACAGCATGGAGAAACAGTTAAGAACTAAATTTCAAATTAGAAAAATTAAAATTGCAAGGACAGTGCTGCTGTTTTCAGCAATGGTAACCTTTAGCAAGTAAGTGAAGCCTCATATTCTCAATTGTAAGATGGCAGCAGTCAAGGTAATAATTTGTAAATATTTGGGTGAGGTAGGAGTTAAATGATCTGATGAATATAAAGGATTTAATATAGTGTCAGGTATGAGAATCAGTCAATAAATGCTGTGTTGGATTTACTGCATTTACTCTACTATAATCTTTACTATCTCTAAAAACTAAATGTTATTATTCCTGATGTATAGATGCTGAGTGATGCAATTTTTCCAAAGGAGCCATCAACTGGCTTGGTGTCGTGGCATTTCTGTATCCTCCTCCCTTCTGCTAGTGATGGTCTAAAATCTGGGGGTCAACAGAGGTGAGGCAAGGAACCTCACCCCCTCCACTGGCACCAAGGCCAAATTTTGGGTCCAACAGAGGTGAGGCAAGAACCTCACGCCTCCCCACTGGTGCATAGGCCTATCCACAAGTATGGCTGTATGCTGGACCGGTAGTCAGTGACGGGTATGATCCAATTGCAGTGGTATCAATCTAAGACAGGAGGCTGACGCCTAGAGGTCAGTTTTCCCATGAAGGGTAAGAACCATATGTTGAATTGGACAACCTACCAGGCACGGTCCTTAAGCCACATTGCTTGTTGTTTAATTAATCAGAAGCGGGGAGATGCTGAGAGCCATTGCCAAGTAGGAATGACGCATCGAAATTTCCTTGCCAGCGTACCCCATGTTGCTTAGAGGAAGGACTCGTGGAAATGGACATTTGAAGTGACATTGCATGTATGTTTGAGAAAGGTGACCCTGCTCAAGGACCAGGGTGGATCCGGGTTTAGGGAGGATCCTACTGAATTAGGGCGGTTCCAGGTTTAAGGTGTATCCTGCTGGGAATAGGGTGTATCCTCCTGCCTCAGGCATGCCCGCTCCTTGAGTTCCCATTGAGTTCTCCTGGGATTCAGAGAGTATTTTTGGGATAGTGGAGGTGTGAATTTTGCCCAGAACCGTGGATTTTGTGAGAACCTGGATTTCCCCAGAACCTGTGTGTAGAGTGCTGGTGAGAGTTCGACAATAAAGAATTGCTGTTTGAATCTAAAAGGTGTGTGGTGACTCGTGATTTTGTGCCCAGCCAGACTGCGGCATATAGATATGTAAAGAAAAAATGAAAGGACAAATTTATGGGACCAATATGAAAAAAAGTCTTAATGAGCTGATAGTTGAGAGATCATTAGTAATTTTATTTATAGGTCAATATGAGGTTTAAGAACACATAAATTGATACAAGAATTGAATATATCACTGAATATATCATTTCCATTTTCTTCTTTTTATAAACTTGATTTCTTAACTATTAATCAAACAAACAAAAGAACACTATTGAGACTAAAACCTTATTCTAGTAATAAGTAACACTCATCCAAAGACCAGGATCTAACAGGAAAAACAGTCTTTCATTAAAGAGATTAAATTACAATTAAATTAAATTTTACTTTTTTTTTTTTTTGGAACTAGAGATTGAATTCAAGGTGCTTTATCATTGAGCTACATTCCCAGCCTTTTTAATTTCTTATTTTGAGACAGGGTCTTGCTAAATTGCTTAGGGCCTTGCTAAATTGCTGAGGCTGGCCTCAAATTTGTGATCCTCCTGCCTCAGTCTCCTGAGTTGCTGGGATTACAGGCGTGTATCATGGCTACATTTTACTTTTTATGTTACTATTTATCAAAATGAATAATGTATTTAGATTTTTTTTTTTTTTAAACAGTACTGAGAACTAAACCCAGGCCCTTGCGCATGCTAGGCAAGTGCTCTTCCATTGAGTTATACCTCTTTTATTTTGAGACAGGGTCCTGCTAAATTGTTCAGGCTGGCCTCAAACTTGCACTCTTTGTGTCTCAGCCTTCCAAGCAGCTGTGATTATAGGTGTATTTCTATGCTTAGTCATTTACATGGTTTTATCAACTGAAATTACAACTTAATTTAGAAATTAACATTAATGTTAACACATTTAATGTTAACATTTAAAGTTAGACACAGGAAATTTAAAATCTTTTCAATTTCAATTTATGTGCATATTTTTGTTGTATAGAAACATGATTTACCAAAATAGTTGTAAAATATGAGTTTCAAGTGCAGAAGTAAATTCTACTAAGACGTGGAATTCTGTAGCAGAAGAGAAATGAAACTGAACTTAAAAAAAAGGAGAAATAAAATTGTTAAGGAAGAGCTTGTTCACAGATATCTTTTAATGGATTATACTAGATATGGAATTGCTATGGTATTTAAGATTCTATTTGAAAAATTTAATAGTAAGATAATATGCTATAAATTATATCTTTGGTAACTATTAAAACTTATAATTAAATATTTCAGATGTCAAGTAAAAATATATGTTTTTCAAATTTCTTTTAGGGGTCACCTAACAAAAACATTTGAAGACTATGGTTTCCATCCCTGACTGGCTGAAAAGATTTACGGATTCCTGAGTCTCATTTTAGATTCAGTGAATCAAAACTGCTAACTGGGGGCAGAAATGTGTGCTTTACCACCCATATTCTGAGACAGGTGATTCACTGGATGAGACTCTCTGGTGTAGATCATTCCTGGTATCAATGTAAGAGAGGATGCCAACCCAAAGGAGAAGTGGAAAACAGTTAATTTTAGGATATGAAACCATATGTGTAATGTAAGTATAATGATGTTCGTCTAAATGTCAAAAAGCTGACTATAAAAACTTGATGTTTTTCCTTCCTGTTCTTGAATCCATGTCTTTCTCTGCTAATTTATAAGGTAATAAAATGAGGGGGGGGCAACAGGTTAATAATTACAGCTGGAAGGGGAAGGTCTGAAGACTTGGAAAAGAACTGGAGTAAACAAAGTTCAAAGTAAATGCAAAGTCTGAAGTAAATGCATGCTGATGTGAGAAAGAACAGAATGGGAAAGGCCCTATTACTTTATCTAAGGCTCTTACTGAGAAAAATGATTTATATTAATGAGAAAAACTTTTGTATAAAAGTTAACAAAAAGCAAATAAAAATAAAGAAACAAAGACAGCAGGTTTCAATGTACTGATTTCCTATATTAGTTAAACATTGATAGATATGGGAATACATTGAACTAGTGGAGTATTATAATCAATGTAAATAATCCAAGTGCTCAAATTTATGAAGATAAAAGAAATGAATCTTCATATTAGTTGTTGCAAGAGTGCTACTGGTGGTCTGGTTTAGTATAATCTGTACACGTGATACATAGGACCAAACTAGTGCTAAACTATAAAAAAGTTTATAAAAACACCCAGAAGTAGTTGTTTCAATGCAAATAATGAGTTGAAAGCCAATTCATATAGAAATCAATTTGCTAAATGACCAATCTGCTGAATCATCACATTTAATCATTAAACCAAAATTTATAGTATTTAAAGTGATTTATTTTGAATGGAATGGTTTAAACAGCTTTTAAAAGCTTATTTTTAATTTCTAATTGATTGATTTTTATTGTCTTCGTGGTAATATTTTAAAGAGTCCTCAATTTACCAAATGCTGAGATTTGGGTTAACCCCAAATGAATGATTTAGTGTTAAGATATTACATTAATATTTTGAAGAGTAAATTTTATAATAAGTAACCAAAATTTTAGCATAAGATTAAACCCCTAATTTCTTGGATGCATTTTTAGGTAACCTACAGACCTCATTACATACTCCCCTAAAAACTTTTTTTAAAGATAAATTTACATATTTGTGCAATGAAGTACCCAAATATTAAGCACATATCCACTAAGCTTTATAATCCAATAAAGATCTAGAATTCTCCCATCACTCCAGAAAGCTCTGTATGCTGCTTCCTAGACAAATCTCACAACCCTACTCCAATACTACTAATGTGATTTTCTTCCACCATAAATTGATTTAGCATATTATAAATTTTCATATAAATAGTATATACTTGCTCCAGGCTTCTTTCACTAAGCACAATGAGTTTGATTCATCCACATGGCTGCATTTATTTATAATTTGTTACTTTTCATTGCTGAGTAGGGTTTCATTTATACTATGGTTTGGTTTTTCTTTCTCTTATTAATGGATACCTGGGTTATTTGTAGTATTCAGCTATTATAAATAAGCTTCTATGAATATTCTTGCATAAGTCTTTTTTAGGTCAGTATAAATATAGCATGTTCTACTTTTTGTGTGGAGGGGAACCCAAGAGTGAAACTGGGGTGTCATAGAGTAAGTGGGAGTGTAATTTTATAATAAGAAATGTCACTTTGGAGAAAGTGTTCTTTTCTAACATAACCATTATGCTATAAATTTGGCTCTAAGCACCACTTCATATTGCATCCTACACATTTTGATATGTTGCATTTCTGTTATTCAGTTCTAGGAATTTTCTAACTTTTCATTATCATTTCCACTTTGTTGCAAAATTTGAATTTTGAATTTTTCTAATTTCCAGTTATGTGGTATTTAAATTATTATGAATTTTAACTTAAATTCCTTGTGGTCAGAGAACATGTTCTGAATGATAGTTGTTCTTTCAGTTTGGTGGAGACTTGACTTTTGCATTATCAGTTTTAATAAATGTTTCATAATGGGTTAAGTTTTGGTCTGTTTCCAAAAATATTTCATTTATGCTTCATTGTTTGTGATACTGGTCAATATATGTCCAATAAATCAATTTTGATAGAGCTTCACACTAAAATGCAGGGAACAGAAGATAATTTTCCTAAATACTTGTAGACCTTTCAGGGAACAATGGTTTCAGTAATTTATATTTATTATTTGAAATAGAATACTCTCTAGTTTTTAAGAGAAAAGAGAACAACAAAAAATGATGTATGCCAAGTGAATAAGATCTTATCAGAGAAATGTACATTGAATTTTACTTTGGAAACATTTTTCTCTGATATTTAAGTTTTTCCATAAAGTACTCCAAGTATGCTTATAATTTAGATTTATGAACTGAGAATGTCTATGACTTAATAGAACTCTTGCTTGCTGATCAAGTGCTACCTAACTCTAGTAATTAATTTTCTGATAAATACCTTAGGTAAAATAAAAATATTTCATAGAATGCATAGAAAGATTTTGTATAAATATACATATATAGCAGTCAAGTATTTTTCAGGATTGATGCGTAGAAAATGAGGCAAAGAGGCAATCATATAAAGAAACAAAAAAAATGAGAAGAGAATTGAAAGATAAAAGATTATATATTTAATTTTATTACTTACATTGTATGAGGATACCTGCTCAGCCAACCTCTTATCTCTTCCTGACAATACATATTCCTCATCCTTCTTACTAGATGACTTTCTTGCTTCTTGTGTTTCCTGAGGAATGCAAACAGATAACACACTATTGAGACATATCATTAAGATATAATGACAAAGAAATATATTCTTTTTATTTAGATTAAGTAACAAGAAACTGAACTCAGCCAGGCTTCTTGAATTCCTTTCATTCAGCAGTATTTATATACATAATAAGGGATCTGTTAGTGTTCTATGATTTTCCTGAAAATAAGAAAACAAACAAACAAAGCCAAAAAAACCTCAAAAGCAACAAATGCAAAACTGTATCTAAACCATAATTGCAAGAACTCATGTATTTATCAAACTCAGGATAAGTTTTGACTAATAATGATGGAATATAAATAGGCTTAAAAACAAATTCTCCATTTTGTTTTCAAAAATAGTAAAAATAAAAAGGTATACATATTAATAAAAAAACTATCTTTATTTACAGAGAGTATACACAACCCCCCATCCCCAACAAATCTACCAGAAAACCTCTTGGAACTAACAAGCAAATACAGCAAAGTTGTATAACACAAGGTCAATATACAAAATATAACAACAGCAGACAACTGAAATTTGGAACAAAACAAAAATTCCATTCATCATAGCATACATGCATAAATGGGGTATTTAGGTAGACTTTCAACAAACTAAGAAAAAATGTCACTATGATTTTCTATAGAATATATTCCCAATCATGAATAAGGAAGGCACACATAAAAATAAGTGAAAACCATTGTTCTCAAAGTATATTTTTATGTTATTTGCTTAGAAAAATCAAGGAGGCCCTCATTATAATTTTTCCTAATTAATAATGAATTAAAACAACATTTAAAATAAAGTACATTAGGAACATAGGAATAGCATGTTTCTTATTTTCTCATAAAATTTTCTTCAGAAAGCAGAGGTTCTTATAAGTGTTGAGAGAAATGATGTTATGTTAAAATGGAGATGAATATTAAGGAACTGTTAGATCTTAAGACTGGAACCTGAAGATATAATAGATGTCAATTAACTTATGCACAACTTTTTCCTTTCTTTCTAAAGAGCAATCTTATTTCTTTTAGGCCATGTTGGCTAAGTGAAACACAAGAGCATTAGAGTTATGGAGATGTATGTACATTGTGAAATCAAATATAAAAAGCAATATGAAGTGATTGGAGAGAATCTATCAAGAAGGAAATATGGTCAAGATTTGTGACAAAAATTATTCATGAACTTTACATAGAAGCAAAGATACCAGAAAATAAACAGTTTTGGGATCTGATATAGTTAAGATATAGTATACAATGATACTATATACTAAATTTTAAGGGGTATTCATAATTCCTTATATGTCCACTATAAACACTGAACAAAATATTTCAGCACAGAAAGGAACAACCAGGTCTAAAAAACTCAGTCATAGGAATTAAAATCATTTCAATTCAACTGTACTGCCTGGTTTCCATTGGTGTCATTTTTCTGTGATATTTTCCTCTGAGGAGGATTCCTCATAGCTAGTTGTAGGTCAGTCATCCACTTACATATAAGAAATAGGACCCAAACCTATAAATAAATATAGACAAAAATAAAAGATTCATGTAAGCAAGGGAATTAATTGTCTTTTTGGAGAATAGGACAAACAGAATTAGCAGGATGAACTAAATATGGAACTGTTAATATAAAAACTGACGAAGCTATAATCATAAAGTGACAATTACTCAAGCATTTAAGACTTATATAGGGAAAGCCTTTAGATGAAATAAATTCAAGGAGTAGAGTAGTGTTGGGGACACTGGTTCAATGACTAACACATAATGGACTATTTAAAAATAAACAAAAAGCCTTAAGAAGAGAACCTGGGAAAATAATAATGTATCTTGTGTACAGATGTTTTATAATTTGTCTTGGTGATTTATTTATATATAAATGAAGGTGTTTCTTGCTTATCTTTACAGTCACATGAAGCTTGTGCACTGGAGATGTTATTTTGAGAGAGATTCTTGAGGTATTATGTAATTTGCTAAAAATATACAAGTGTTGTTTTTTCAATAGAGTTTAAAAGATATATTTTCATGTAGATAGTGTGTTGTATAAATACCAAGGAATGTGGAGTTAAAAACATCTAAAATGGACTTTTTGCTCATCACTTTCTAGCTCTGTGATAACCTGGTGTCACAGAGTTAGTTTCTCCCTATTCTATAGCATGAAGTCAATAAACCTATGTCTCAGGGTTTTCTTGGGATTTAAATGAGGCAGTTTATCAGAAAATAATATACAGTATGACTTTTCTTCTTCATAACTTCTCCTCAGGGAAGAAATATTTTCCCTTTGGAATCATAATTTTAAAAAGTAGTACCTTTAAATAATTTTGCCTTATAGCTTTTCAAAATTGAGCCACCGTGAACAGAAACACATAAACAAAACCTCTTACCTTAGCTTTCCTTTCCCTATCAGCTGGAGTATCTGTCCAGATTGATCGATCTCCGGATTTGTCATCAGCTCTTCTCTTAAAGGTCCTTGGCCCTAAACCAAAGTCTTTCATTTCTGGAGGAAGTTCAGTCATCCATGACTCTCTTGTTATTGGTTTAGATGAATCCTTTATGAGAAATAAAAAGTTAAGGAAAAAGAAGCATGAGAAGTGTGTGAGTGTGTGTGTGTGTATAAAAATACTGTATAAACAAATGTTTTTTTCTCAACTGACGTTTTAAATTTACTGAATAGACTTTAATAGAAAGGTTCAATGTTTTTGTCATATACATTTGCCATGCATGTAACAAATATTTTCATCCAAATTGTTATTCTGTTGACTATCTCTTGCCATACAGAATATATTTTTAAAAATTTTATTTATTTTATTCATTTTAGTTGTTGATGGACCTTTATTTATTTATTTTTATTTATATGTGGTGCTGAGAATTGAACCCAGGGCCTCATACATTAGAGGCAAGCACTCTACCACTGAGCCACAACCCCAGCCCCATACAGAATATTTTTAGTAGAAAAAATTTGCCAGTCTTTTCCTTTACTGTTTCTGGATTATATAGTGTGAGCACATGCGTATACACACACACACATATATTAATGTTTATTTCAATTATTTAGATTTTTAATCTATTTAGATAGTTAGTTTGTTTATTTATTTGTGTGGTGCTGGGGATTGAACCCAGGGCCTTGTGCATTCAAGACAATCACTCTACTAACTGAGCTATATCCCAGCCCTCTATTTAGTTTATTAAAGTACCTTTAAAACTTACATCATCTCCTTTGGTTAGTTTTTCTTTCATTCTCTGGGCCCTTTTTTCAAACTCTGTTGTTACACTATAGTTAACTGGTTCTTTTGCAGGCATTGGTCCAACAATATTCTCATCCTCACTGCTATCTGTTTCCTTTGGAAATAAAATGTTACCTTTAATGCAATAGCAGAGCTACAAGTTACTGGAAATAATTTTAAATTACTTAAATATAACTGAAGTGGATTGCTCAAAGATAATAAAACAAAAAAGCAAACAATGCACTGCTGGCCTATTACTAAACAATAAGGACCTTTTCCTTGCCTTCCTCAAATACACTGTACAGAGATGATAAATCCATGGCATGTGGACTGTTCCATCTCTCCTCCTCAGTCCACAGTAGATCTCATTAAACTATTGAAGCTCTACCTGATCTAGATGTGGCCTTAGACTTCTTTTCAAAGAAGTATTCTGATTCTTATTATTACTAGGTCAGAGATGACACATTAGAAGCTAATTTTATTCACAGTATATAAAAAGTTCCTTGGAATAAGATGTATGTAAGCAGGGCATTCTTGGGAGCTATATCAGTCTTCATGAAAAAGAAATAGTATGCAATAATTTACAAAATTCTGACCCAAATGAATTAATTCAGTTCTAAAAGTACCTTACTCACTTCAAAGATAAAACAGTATTATGGTAATTGAATTCAACCTGTTCTTATTAAGTCATCTTGACAAATGGTCTCCATGTATGAGTCTGTGTTAGATGCTGTTCATGCTAGGGCTTACAGGTTGTCTATTTCCTCCAGGAGATTTTTTTTTTTTTAAGAATCTAACCTTTATTTTGTTTATTTATTTTTATGTGGTGCTAAGGATCAAACTCAGGGCCTTACTCATGCGAGGCAAGCAATTTATCACTGAGCTACAACTCCAGTCTCTCTTCTAGGAGATTTATTAAAATGAGTAACAACAACATGCTTTTCCTTCAGTTCTGACCGACAGTTTCTGCCTCTTAGGTTTTAAACTAGTGGGATCAGGAGATCATTTATATTGCTTTCATCTTCCCCACTAACCAATCAAATAGATGAAATGTGCGGTCACTTGGACCATGGTGGATAAAGATGTGGTTGGATTCTGGATGTCTTCTGAAGGCAGGAACAACATAATTTGTTGACATATTCATTTTTGTAACTATATGCCTGACACATGACAAGTGCTGTAGAAACATTTGTAGAAATAATAAGTAACCTTGAAGTTCATGATCTTAATTATTGGGCTGTATTTACTTTGAGTAACCTTAGTGGTAAATTCTCAGTGGAGATGAACTGGAGTCTCTTGATGACCTGAATTCATTTGTAAGAAGGTATTGAAGCATAAGAGACTGAAGATGTGATTTAAAGTCATATGAACTGGGTTTAAGACATGGCTTTGATAAGCAAAAATCATGTAAACTTAGGTAAATTACCCAATTTCTTTGGTCTTTGACATCTGTAAGGTAATGGATAAAGTTCATTTTATGCAGTTGTGGAGAAGATAAAGATAAGATACCCACGTATGGGTAAAATACACTAACAATGAGAGTGCTGTATAAATTTCAGCTATTTTCAAGGAGATAAACAGCCTTCATACTTTACTCCAAAATCATTTGACTTCTTTTCATAAGAAATTACTTAACTACCAGTGTCTTTGTTATACATGTACCAGAACTGAAAAGGAGAGAGTTAATTTTAAGATAAAGACTATTATTAAAATCCTCCTTTTTTCTTTCCTTCAGGTCAAATCACAATGATTCCTTAAACTTTCATCATGTTCTATTTTTCTGATACTTTAAAATCCCCCTTCAAAGTAAGTAGCATAAATAGATAACACTCTGTCAGTCTTGCTGTTTTTCTTAACAGAATTTCAGGTTTTTGAACAGCTTTTGGTTATATGTACATATGTTACAATTTTAAATTAATCTGAATATAACTGAGTCTTATATTACATCTGAGTCAAATGATCACAGTTACCCCTAAAGTTCTGACTTTGTTACATCTTTTCCTTTAAATGGAAACTTTTCAAACCTCAGAATTGAAATGCGATGATATTTGTCCTGGATCATCTCTGCCTTTGTCACTTTTCTGTGCAGATTTAATGAAACCAGGTGGCAATGCAGGACCTATTATAGGCCTGAAAAATAAAATACACATTTATCATTCTCCTTAACTTTAAAGTAGTTCTCAGAATAAAAGTTCACAAAAATAATAAAACCAGATACTAATAAACATTGAAAATAAAAATTTATTCATCATATTATTTTCACCAGTGTTACCTAATATTTTTCTACTTGGTGTCTTAAAAAACTTATTTTTGGCATTTTAAAATTTCTATTTGTTAGTCAATTAGAAATAAACCAATAATTCTCAATCTTTGTGACACTAGTGTGTGCCTATCTCCTAAAAAAAACTATACTAAATAAAAATGATAATTTTTTTTAAAAAGGCCTTAGATGTATTGAAACTTATGAAGGTATTTTTTATTTAGTGCCTTGGTTTTCTTTCAGTTGTGATATTCACTTTCCATGGGAAAATACTATAAGGATATTATAATTATACCCAGAACTATTAAAGTAGAAACTGAGTTTTCCTAAAGACAAATATAGCATGTGTATACAACAGATGTCAGTAACTCATGGTATGCATGCCAAGGCAATAAGCTGTTCATGATGCCTGTAATCTCAGCTGAGGCTGAGGCAGGAGGATCATAGGTTTGATGCGGGTCTCAGCAATTTAGTGAGGACCCCAGCAACTTGGCAGGGTCCTTGATAAATTAGCAACTATCTCAAAATTAAGAAAAGACTGGGGCTATAGCTCACTGAAAAAGCAACCTTCAGTTCAATTCCTAGTATCCGAAAAAAAAAAAAAAAAAAGCCAAGGCAATATAAAAATCTATAAAACATCCTAATAATCCAGTAAAAATGTGTAAATGAAGAATACAAGTAGTTCATTGTGATCCGTAGAAGGAAAAAGTGCTGTAAGCACATTTTAACCAGTGTACCTGTTTCCTTAAAACAACTCTCATCAGTATAAGCCCTGCTTTCTAGTCATTTCACTTAGGACAAAATTAACACCTAATATCAACATATCCAGTAAATAGTTGAGCTGGAGTTTAAGCCCTGGCCTATTTGATGCCAAAGGTCATTTTCTTTTGAGCTGCCCCAATGTCACATTCTGAGGCAACATTTTGACATTAGTTAAAAAAGAGAATTTCTTGAATTCTGAGACTGATTTTTTTCTGTGTTTTTTTTTCCTCTTTATTTTCTCTATTTGGCACCATAAATACTAATATTTATGATTATTATTACTTGGATTTATTCTTGAGAGAGAAAAGCCATCATTCTCTTTCTCCTATATTAGCATTTATTTTTATTTTTATTTTTTTATTAGCTACACATGACATTACAATGATCTTGGCAATTCATACATTTGAATCAATGGGGTATAATTTCTCATTTTTCTGATTGTACAGATTGCAGAATCACACTGATCCTAGAATCACCCATATACATACAGCAATCATAATGTCTATTCTATTCTGCTACCCTTCCTATCCCCGCTTCCCCTCCCCTCCCCTCCCACCAGAGCCTGATTTTATGTATGGAAAAAATACACCTTTTCTCCTGTTAATACTTACCAGTTTCTTCACCCTTGCTTTTGTACCAATGTTTTTTCCATAGTTGTTGCTGTGCCAGTGTAACTGACACAGATGGCACTGAAGTCCTAAGCTAAATCCCCCAGGTTGCACTGTGCTCAATTAGAGTCTCACAGATAGACTTCTTGGCAGGGAAGAAACAGTATCGAGAGCCAGAAAGTCTGGGTTCTGAATTTGACCATTTAATAACCTCCTGTCTTGGTTCATGAAACCTTTTTAAGCATAACAATTTTGCAGATGAAAGACATGGAAGTCTGGCACTGCTGTATCCAATTAGTTATTATTTATAAGCTAGAAGGAAGTACAGCATGGGTTTTTCTGAGTATAATTTTTAGTAGAGCTATGCCTGCAATTATAGTTCAATTTTCTGGCCTCAGGCGGTTTGTTGAAATAAAAGTAGTAGTCTATAAAATCCTAGAATACAGTAAATATAACCACGGCATGCTATAGTTGTGTATGAGTTTTTTACGCTAATTTATGCTACTAGCTATTTATTTACACATAGAGCTTATTATTGCCAAATGTAATTCTCAAGAAAGAAACTGCTATAGATCTAAGTATAGGTTGAGTCCTTAGCCAAAATGCTTTGGACCAGAAGTGTTTCAAATTTCAGATTTTGAAATATTTTATGTTGTTTTGTTTATGATGTGGCTTTATTTTTTTCAGATTTTGGAATATCTGCATATATAGATATAGATATATCTTGGGGATGGGACCTAAATCTAAAAATGAAATTCATTTATGTTTCAAATCCAACTCATACATAGCCTGATAGTTACATCAATGTCAATATTTTAAATGATTTGTGTATAACACAAAGGAAACACTGAACCATCAGACTTGTCCTGTAATGTCAGTGCTCAAAAAGTTTCAGATTTTGGAGCATTCTGAATTTCAGGTTTTCAGATTAGAGATGATCCATGTATAATGTGCTTTTGTTTTTAAAAAATGCTTTATAACAGGAGGCAGCAAATTTTCTCTGAAGGGCTAAGCAGTAAATTTTATTTATTTTATTTTTTATTTTTTGGTATCAGGGATTGAACTCAGGGTACTTAACCACTGAGCCATATCCCCGGCTGTTTTTATGTTTTATTTTGAGATAGGGTCTTGCTAAGTTGCTTAGGACCTCACTAAATTGCTGAGGATGGCTTTGAAATTGTGATCCTCCTGCCTTAGCCTCCCAAGCTACTGGGATTACAGGCATGTGCCACCATGCCTGGCTAGGCAGTAAATTCTAAAGTTGGAGGGCCACAGGAGACTTTTTTTGTAATTAAAAAATGTGAAAGTCTGGGGCTGGGATTGTGGCTCAGTGGCAGAGCTCTTGCCTCGCACATGTGAGGCACTGGGTTCCATCCTCAGCACCACATAAAGATAAATAAACAAAATAAAGATATTAAAAAATACATCCATTTAAAAAAATGTGAAAGTCATTCTTAGCTTTGGGACTAAAAAAAAAAAAAGGTGGTATTTGCCTATCCTTGTCATATCTAAAAGAAATAGAGTACATGGAAAGAGGACTTGCTACATGGTGATTATAAACTCTGGTTATCTTTTCTGTTTGGCCTTGCAAACTGGTATCTATGGTACGAATTATATACAATTTAGTATATAATTTTATGTTCAATACTTTAAAATTTTGCAGTTCTGAGAAGACAACAGGAATCAACGTTTTCTATATACTTACTCTGGGCTAGTCACCATGTAAGACACACACACAGACAAAAACATGTTGTATGCATGAGAGTAGGAAATCTCAACCATTGTAACATCTAGAAAGGTGTATGTCATTGTTCTATTTTACATAAGACAAATTTGATGTTCAGAGAAATTGTCTAATTTGACATATAGGGGTTTGTTTTTCTATCAATAAATATCTAAGAAAATAATTGAATAACAAGTCAGAACATCAGGATCCAAGCCCATGGTCTACCACTTATTATGGGTGCCACTGTATTTGTTTAATCAGGAAAAGGGATAATATTCCATCCAGTCTATCACCAAACACTTTTGTGACTATCAAATAAGAGATGTGGACATTTTTTAAATAATTCATATAAGTGTCAAAAACATGTGAATATTTGTTTATTATTGGAAATAATTATTTTTTCCTATTAATGACCCATTTCAAATGTTATGAAAATATATGTTAAAAATAATTTCAGAAAACTCTTTAATCAATTAACAGACAGTGAAATATTAAAAGAGACTAGCCTGAAATATTACACATTATTACCTGGGAGGAGAATCATCCTGCTTTTTAAATCCAGGAGGAAGGGCTGGTCCAAAAAACCCATCATCATCGTCGTCGTCCTGATTTCTCCTCTGTTTTCTGAAAACCCAGTAGTAGATCTTAATGCATATGTCAAAAATTTCTCATAAAGAAAAATTTTAATTTTTAAAGGAAGTATTAAGTTTAACTAATTGTGTAAACACTAAATCAATAAATTAATCTTGCCAAATAATAAAAAATGGACAATATAGTAGTTCTTAATTAATCTTTTCCTGGAATTTATTTTTTGGCTTAAAATAGAGATTGGTCATATTTTAAAGAGGTACTATATCAGTATTCTATATTTTCTGTAGTATTAAAGATTCCACTAAATGGAAGAAGATTTCACTAAATGTTTCTTAGTGAAAAGCATATGAATTTGGCTTTTAGTCTCACTTAAGGGTCTTTTTGTCTCATAATTTTTTTAAAAAATATTTTTATTAGTTATAGATGGACACAATGCCTTTATTTATTTTTTATGTGGTGCTGAGAATCAAACTCAGTGCCTCACACATGCTAGACAAGTGCTCCACCACTGAGCCACAATCCCAGTCCTGTCTCATAATTTTTTAAATGCATCAAAATACCTTGTTACCCAATAACAAAGATACAACTTCTTATTTACATGGATCCAGGGTGAATGAGGGTAGATTAGAAGAAAATCATTGATTTATTTAAACAAATATCTATTGCATATACAATTTTAAATAAAAGAAATTCTGTGGTTTATTTGATATATTTAGTCACTTCGATATACTTTAAGAAAAAATTCTTTTATAAGAATTTTATTGAAATTTAAAATATCTCCACAGCCTATACACTACTAGAATAAACTTCTTTATAAAAGGTTTACTTTATGATGAAATGCCATATAAGATCATTTCCTCCTGCACTATATAAATATCCCTTTACTAGCTATATGTTCCAGTCAACTTATGCTAGGTCTGCAACTTGGTTTGTTAAATTTAAGTGACTTACCTTGCAGTTGGACCAGTGTCATCTTCTTCGGATTCTTGATTTCCTTCTTCAGACAAAGAACTACTGTCCTCGTCACTGTCTGACGAATCTGAACTACTGCTTTTATAATTGGGGGGCAGAGCTGGTCCTGCAACTAAAGAAGATTTGTTGTGTGTATCATAACTAGCCTTGACTATTTAACTGAGGCCTCCTAGCTGATATTTTTCACTTTCTTTTCTGAAATTCACAGCACTGGCTGCCTATCATTTATTATGGACTTGAATCTAAATCTCTCCTGTGTTTGTCAGAAAGACAAAAACTCCAGGAAGGCTGAAATCAGATCTTATACCACTTCTTTTATGAAAGTCACAAAATCTTTAATACCCAAACTTATAACAAATAACATATTTCTCTGATAATTGGCAATTTTTGCATTGGTTGGAAGAATACCTACCAATACGGCTTCTGATTATGTTTTTTTATCAACAGCATATGGTAAGCAACATTTATGTCATGGAGCTAACCAACCAACAAACTTGCCATTCCATACCATATGTATTGAAAATACAAAATGATTCATTCTGATTTCTAACAGCTACAACTTTAAAAAATGTCTTTACTGGCATCACAATATTTCTCAGTTTCCTTTTCAATCTGATTTTTTTAAGCACAAACAAAATTAGTCACTGTCATTTTTACTGCTTGATCGTAGAGAAAGAAAAAAGAATGAGGCTACACTGTGGTAGAGATGCTGGGAAGAGAGTGAGGGTCTTTGAGGACAACTTGCTAGAGCACTTTGCTCAGCAAAATTAAAAAAATTACTGCCTGGTGTCAATGCATGATATTATAGACACAACTGTCCATGCTAATCCTCAGTGGTGATGCCAAAAGTATACTGTACTAATTCCCCAAACTGGATGTTTATCAGACTAGTCAAAACATTACCAACCCCCCCCC